AAGCCATCCTCACCTGTCAAATGTGTACTCAGCTACTTTCACTCCAATATGCCCCCAGGCCCCTTTCCCCAGGCAACCTGCAGCCCCCTCTTTTAGGGACTAGGGTGGTGTATCCCAACTCAGCATTTCCTGCTGTCCCCATGCATCTTTTAAAAGAATAATAATAAGAAGAAGAAGCAACAGTGACTGTGCTGGCATACTGGTATAGTTAACACAAATTTGGCATTAACCAGGCCCAGAATGCCTGCCAGCTATTGGCTGCTTTTCTCCCAGCAGTGGAACACTTGCCTAGGTATAAGATAACCCAGGCAGTTGCCTACAGCTTGGATAATCAATGTCATAGCAGTTTAGGTTTTTGGGGATTGAGAGTAATTCACTCAAATACCAGGAAATCATTGGGGTAACGGTAGATATAGCAAGTTCAGATGCTGCTTGCAACACTGGTATCCCATAGCAGAGCACCAGTTTGAGCCTCAGCTGCTCCACTTCTGATCCAACTCTCTGCCAATGCTCCAGGGAAAGCCACAGAAGATGGCCCGAGGATTCCTGCCACCATGTGGGAAAGGCAGACTGAGTTCTGGGCTCTTGGCTTTGACTGGCCCAGCCCTGGTTGTTGTGGGCACTTAAGGGGTGAACTCTCTCTCTCTTTGTATGTGTATTGCTCTGCCTTTCAGCCAAGTAAGTTTCTTTTTAAAATGAAAAAATTGGAATGTCCTCTTAGAGAGAAACTTTTTAAAGAAGATTTATTTATTTATATCTCAAAGGTTGATTTACAGAGAGAAGGAGAGAGAGATCTTTCCTCCACCTGCTGGTTCACTCTTCAAATGGCCAATCTGAAACCAGGAGCCAGGAGGCAATTCCAGACCTCCTATGTGGGAACAGGGTCCCAAGGACTTGGGTCATCCTCTACTGCCTTCCCAGACCATAAGCCGGAAGCTGGGTTTGAACTGGAACAGCTGGAACGTGAGCTGGCACTCATATGGAATACTTGTGTTTGATGGTGGAGTATCAACCTGTTGAGTCATAATGTCAGCCCCTGTAGATAAACTTTAAATTGAACACATTCTAGATGAAACCAAAGCAGTATCTGGTTGAGAGGAAAGACCAGTTCCCAGACTTTGAAGAGCTATTGGAACTAGGAGAAAGTCACAGTGAAACAAAAGAAAGCGTCTAAATAACAAGGAAGAGGTGATGTGCAGGGCTGGAGAAGTACTTACCAGGCCATCAGAGACAGAAACCAGGGCCGCATCTTCACGGAAAGTGACTGAGCTAAGACACTCAGGGAGCACATCCAACAGCAGGTGTTCCCAGAGAGGCCCAGGCCCAGGCTGCCCCTAGAGTCAGTTCTGCAGGTGCCCACAGCCCTGACCCAGATCACTCAGTGATGGAGCCAACACCAGAGGATCTTCCAACATCTCTGTGGAGGCTGGGGACTCCTGGCCTCACACACTGCTATTGTGGGTTACCAACTTCTCTGTCCATGCAGCCATGGGGTAGGAGGGCCTGGGTCAGGTGCATAGAACAATGGGTCAACTCATGGATGTAAGCAGTCAACTGGCATACTGTATGTATTCAGATGGCCTAAACAGCTTGTTCCTACATGCACTAATCAGCATGCTTATCTCCTAGAGCTGCTGTGAGGATTATGTTATCTAGGAAGTGTTTAGAACAGTGCTGGTTCAGAACATGTGTTACTGCATCAGGCTCGGTGAGCCTGTTTCATGAACAAGGCAATGCAAAGAGCGGCTAATTGAACATTGCCTTGTGAGGACCTCTGTGGGGAGCCAGGGTCCTTCCTTAGCTGACAGCATGCACAGCCAGCACTGCCAGATGGCTCATGATTGAAACTGTAAGCCAGGATTTCATGAAGACCATGTCAGGTTCTTAGTAAGTGTCTAAGAGACAGCTTTCTATCAGTTTGCAGCAGCACCATCCATCTTTGAACAGTCAGCTGGAAACCACAAACTGGGCAAGGATCCCTGGATTAGTGGGCTAACTTGACCTGTCTAGGAACCTATAAGCATTACCTTCCAGCTGAGTTTCTGGATTGAGACAAAATAAGCAGGAAACTGCAACCTCGCCAGTTGCTACTATGACTTGACGCCCAAGTAACAGAGATCCACCCTGGAAGACAGGAGAAGTGGTGGCCGCAGCCCCTTTCACACTGCTTAAACTCCTCATTTCTCTTCCAGTGTAGCCCACACGTCACTCTCCGGAGCGTTACTGAGCTTTCTCTGGCTGAGCTACGGTGGCCGTTCCTGTCTTCCAGCAGCGCACTTGCCAGCTCATGTAACTGCATTCCCCCATTGGACTTCAGCTCCTCCTAAGCAGTAGTATAGTAATAACCTTCAGGCGCCCTGCACCAGCCCCGCACATGGCACCTAGTAGATGCACACAGAATGTCAGTTCTTGACTTACTGCCATGTGTCCTGCCTCCCCCTTACTTTCTCCGATAAGCCAGCAGCAAAGTGATCCCTCAGAGTCCTGGGAGCGGCTCTCACAGTGGAATCCCTGGGAGACACTGCTCAGAAAGGAGGAAGATTTCGTTGACCTCAGAGTGTCGAAGACTCACAGTCCGAGGTCCGGCAGCACCACTGCTTTAGACACCTGGTGAGGACTGAGGGTGCAAAGGGTCGTTCACGCAAGGAGCCAGAGAGCAGGGAGAGAAGATCCAGGCTGAGTCGGCTTCCACAAGCAATCCTCTGGTGAGAACTGCCCCCAGCGATCCACCAGGCCCTCCTCCCAGATGCCACAATTGGACCAATCCTCCATCCTTTATTCAGCAATCCACTAACCATCTATGCAGGACACTGGGCACCAAGTTGCTAAGACATGGGCTCTGGGGGAAATACCCAAACTATTTTCTAAGCAATAGCAGGCAGACACAAGTCAGGTCAGATCCAAGCCAGGGTCGGGGCAGGGAGGAGGCACAGTTCCTGAGATGGGGGAAGGGGTGCAGCTATCCCAAAAATATGACTGTAGAGTTTTGCACTGTGATAGCTGGAGGACACCTCATTGTCTGGAGAGCCAGAGGTTTCCTTGAGCAGGCACAGTGACACCAAACATTACTTACCTGACAAACCTCCGTCAAGCACCAGCACATACCAGTACCCATCTTTCTGAGTCTTACAGAGTCACTCCTATACCCAGGCTATGAGGTTACCTGTGACAGGTGGTGGGACAGGTGATACCACAGCACCACGAGAAGGGACACGGGGGAGGATCCTGAACACATCATAGTACAGTCAAGGCCCAGAGCCACTGTGGAGCCAGGCTCCCATGGGGAGGATGATACAAGATCTTCTCCAACACCAGAGCAGAAGCCCTCCTCCTCCTCCGTCTGGCAGGAGGGCATCCCTGGGGCAGCACTGGCAAGAGCAGCCCCATCATCTCCCCTGCGGCATGTGGGCTTGCTGACTGTGCAGGCTCCTGGCATGCATGTCCACCACCAGCCAGGGCTTAATGCTGTCCCCCATGACCTCTGGAGGTAACACCTGCCCCATCACGGTCACTAGCAGTGGGACTACAGCATTCTCAATCCCACCTCTGTCTACCTCCCGAGATGCAGAGAAAGCCATGGAAAGGAGGGGCATACCCTCTAGACACAAACTCTCCCCGGAACAGATGCCACATCACAAGGAAATGAGAATTTCCACCAATAATTTTACTGCTGAAAGCACTTCAAATGAAGCCAAGCATTTAACAAAATATATAAAACCAGGCATTTGTTTAAAATCACAAGTGGGCAGATTTATGGAGCTACTTTCATGATCCTCCAAGAAAAGATGACAACATTTATTTATTTAAGAGTCAATTGTATTTGGGCGAGATCAGCTGCCAGATCTCAGCACTTACACGTCAGAGCCCTCAGGAGCAGAGCAAATGGTGGCCGGTGTGAGGGAGGCAGTGAGAGGTGAAGAGGACAGCCCACCCTGGCAGATGAGCTGCCAGGGGCATGGCGAGGCATCGGGTAAGTGGAACAGGCAGGAGCCGTGGGCACTGTGGAGGTGGGAGTGGGCCCTGGAGCTGTCTGCCTCAACTCCTCCTCAGCTTGCTAAGAAAGGGGTTTGGCTGGGAGTCATCCTGTGTCAACAACCCTCTCGGGGAGACCCATGCGGGTTCCCATCAAGCCATTTAGAGCTGCCAGGAAATGGAGAAGCAAAGCCAGAGCTGTCTCAGAGCTCACGTTCTAGCACAGCGAGCAACATTTGTTCAGATGACTGTGCCAGGTGGTCCAGGATGGGCTGTGAGACATACGATTCATGTCACCATGACCAAGGGAGATCAGAAAAGGGCTCTATACGTCACTGTGACTTGGGATGGGCCTGAAGGAGAGATAGGATGCTGATAGGTAAAAGCCCTGTGACAACGCGTGTGGCCAGACCTGGGGGTGGGGAGGTGGCCTCTGCTGGGAGTGTCTGGCATGTGTAGGGCAGGTGTCAGAGGAACATGAGGCTGGGGGCTAGGTCAGTGTAAGTTTCCAGGTACCAAGTGTCTACTTACACGGGCTAAGTAAGAAAGGATCCTTCATGTATGTGTTTATTCTTTCACTCAGCAAAAAGGCATTGAGTATAAAGCCTCCATTGGGTGCCCCCGGATGCTGGAGGTAAACAGGGCTGGGTCCCACCCTCCTGACCCTGGCTGGCCTCAGGGAGCATTCTTAGCAAGTGCACCTAGGACTCAGCATTACGCACCCCAGAGCTCCTATCAGCTGCAGCAGAAGTAGAGGCTGCAGCCTGGTCCAAGGTGAAGGTCAGGCCCTGAGCTAGGTGTGGCAGTGGGGCATCACCTCCCAGGATGGCACAGTCAGCAGGGTCAGTCATGGGCAGGGGTCCCCTACCCCAGCCCAGTGCGTTCCCCCAGCACCCTACCCCCTGCAGCCGACAAGGAAGAAGGCACATCCCCCATGATGTCCAGGTGGGAGGATGAGAGAAAAAGGAGGAGGCCGGGGAGCAGTGGACTGGAGCTCTTATTCCACCTGCTGCAGGGCCGGCCATGGATCACCGGTCACGGGAGTCGGGAGACTGGCGCCCGGTGCGCTCCTGCTCATCTTCCTCTTCCTCTCTCACTCTGGACAGCTCCTTCAGTTGCTCTGGTGGCTCCTGGTAGGCTGCCCGGTTCCTGCAGGGAGGTAGGAAAGGAAGAAGGCTTGGCTCTCACTCGGCTCCCCCAGGGAGTTGGGCCCAGAGCCCATCATGGGACAGTGGGCTGAAGGGCGGTGTGTGTGTGTGCTCCTCCTGGGTTGAGAGGCTCCAGCTCACACTTGGCCCCACCCTGAGATCAAAGACTGAGCCCAGGACTACCGGTGCACACAGCATGACTCCGTCCTCTGCTACATAAGGAGGGTAAGGGAAATAGGAGCTGCCCTTCAGGGGCAAGTAGCTGTGAGAGGCTCGGACCTGTCCCCGCCTCCCACCAGGCTGCCCGCCCCAACACTCACGGCCGGGCGTCCTCGTTGTCGTCGACCTTGTCCTTCTGCCGGCAGCAGCAGCAGAAGATGATGATACCAAGGACGATGAAGGCCGCCACCACACCCCCTGCAATGCCCGCGTACAGGGCCACGTTCATGGAAGCTGCAAGAGAACGGAACAGCTGCATCTTTGGAAGCCCAAGGCACCCCTGACACCCATCCCACCAGGCACCAGAGGGAGACACCAAGGCTGCAAGGGACTGTACACTGCCACAATGCTGATTACCAGGGCAGCCAAGACTGGCTCTACTCCCCAGGGAAGATGTGGCCTTGCAGCAGCATCAAGACCACACAGGGCATGAGGACATGTCCTAGGATGAGGGCAGAACGAGGACAAGGAGGCAGGACACCCAGGCGTTGAGGCAAGTCCTCAGGTGTCCATCCTGCCAGCCCCGACGCCAGCTGCTCCCCGAGCTCAGTGCAGTGACCCACCCATGAGGATGGCTGGGGTGGGTCTCTGCACACCTCCCCCACGCTCACTCTGCGGCCCTCAAGGCAGGCAGGCTGAAGTCTCCAGAAGGCCAGCCCCAGGCGCTCCTTGCAGAGTCAGCAGAATTGGATGTGTGCAGCAGCAAAGGGGGTATGGGTAAGGAGACACCAGGTCCCTGGCAGACAGGTGGCTCCCAAGAGCATCCCCAGCTCTTCTCCATGGCAGCGAATGTAGGGGAGTCCCAGCAGACAATTCCTCCCACCCCACACCCGTCGCCCCAGAGGGTGCTTACGAAGCCTGGCAGCCACAGTGATGTTACAGGACTCCTGCCCCATCTCGTTGCTGGAGGTGCAGATGTAGAAGCCCGAGGTGTCGGTGGAGATGTTCTTCAGGGTCACGGTCTGGCCAGAGACTGGAGGATGGACGGTCAGGGTGAGTGGAGGGCGCCCAGCAGAGTGCTGGCAGAGGAAAGGACTCCAGGGAGGCTGGAGCTCTGCCACCCGGCCTCCCGGGGGCCGTGGCCTCCCTGAGACCACAGGGCCTGAAGCCAGCTGGGACGCAGCATCCCGAAGTGCTGAGAACACAGCCAGACCCTGGGCTGTTGGTAGGCTCGATGGCTTTGGCAGTGGCTTAACCCCAGCAAACTCTGCTGCTGCACCTGCAGCGTGGAGGGCTCGTGTCTGTCCCGTGGGCAGTGACAAGGCGTCCGGGAGATGCCTGCCCAGGCACCCAGAGCTCAGGACACAAGCTGGGCAAAGGGAAACGCTTTCTAACCAGACCACACAGTGATCACCATTTCTGTGAACTTTAAGGATGGACTCTCTGAGCTCAGACGCATGGGGAGGAAGTCTTTTTTAAAAAGATTTATTTATTTATATTGGAAAGTCAGATATACAGAGAGGAGGAGAGACAGAGGGGAAGATTTTCTGTCCACGGATTCACTCCTGAAGTGGCCGGAACTGAGCTGATGCGAAACCAGGAGCCAGGAGCCTCCTCTGGGTCTTCCACATGGGTGCAGGGTCCCAAGGCTTTGTGCTGTCCTATACTGCTTTCTCGGGTCACAAGCAGGGAGCTGGATGGGAAGCAGGGCTGCCAGGATTAGAACTGATGCCCATATGGGATCCCAACACACATGTAAGCTGAGGGCTTTAGCTGCTAGGCTACCACACCAGGCTAGGGAAAGAAATCTTTAAAAATCAGAAGTTCTGAGCTCTGTGTTTGATTGACCGAGGGAGTGGAGGGGGCTTAATGTGTGTGTGTGTGTGTGTGTGTGTGTGTGTGTGTGTGTGTGTGTACGTATGTGCCTGTGCATACATGGGGTGTGCTGAGTGTGGGTGGCATTTCTACGTGTGTGTCCTTCTGACATTAATGTGTGGTGTGTCCGTGCCTGGCATGTGTAGAGTATAGATGTATGGTGTGATGTGTGTGATATATGTGAGTGTGGGGAAGGTTGAAATATATGCATGTATGTGCAGGTTTGTGGCAAGAATGTGTGAGTAGTATGTACATGTTTTTGGTGTGTGTAACTATGGGTGATGAATGTGACTGTGTGACAGTGGGTGGTATGGCGTGTGGGGGGGCATGGGAAGGTGTGGTGTTGGGGCTGGACAAGGCCAGCTGTCAGTCTAGACCCTTCACCTTCAAGACACCATCAGGTCTCTGGGCCATAGCTGCCTCCGTGGGCAGCAGCAGCAAAGACCAGGTCCTTCTGCCCCCAGGGGCAGGTCAGGATGGTTCCAGAAACACCTGTCCCTAGCACCTGTGATCTTGCTCAGTCCTCCCTGGGAGAGGGTGCTCAGTGCTCAGTCCTGTCCAGTGCCCTGTCTAGGGTGCTCTGCCTGCCTACTGATCGGGGAGAAGAGTCGGAGACTTAGAGGAAACCGACTGCCCCCAGGCGGCCACGCTCCTTCAGCAGCATGTCACAGCTCCGGAAGGGACGGAAGGGGCGCTGGCAGGCAGGGCAGCCTTCTGTGCGCTCCTTTCCCCAGGATCCTGTGGGCGGAGCCAGGGAGCAGCCCCGCCTCTCCCCTCCAGTCTGCTCTTTCAAAACCGACCTTGGCGTGGATTGCCCTGCTCTGCACTTGCTGCTGCACGTGTCCTTAGCGCGGACGACCTCTCGCCCTTCCCACTGTCTTATACAGAAGGCGCAAAGCGAGCGCCATCACCCACCCACAGAGGTTGCTACAGCTCCAGAGAAGTGAAGTGACTTGCTCAGCGTCATACAGTTCAGAAATGACAAGGCTGGGACAATCCCACTTCGGGTCAGAGCTCTGAGAAGCAACTGACAACTTTCTCAGAAACACGGAATAGGGCACGGCGCGGTGGCTCAATGGCTTAATCCTCACCTAGCACATGCCAGGATCTCATTTGGGCTCCGGTTCGTGTCCCAGCTGCCCCACTTCCCTTCCAGCTCCCTGCCTGTGGCCTGGGAAAACAGTAGTGGATGCCCAAAGCCTTGGGACTCTGCACCCACATGGGAAACATAGAAGAAACTGCCGGCTCCTGGCTTCAGATTGGCTCAGCTCTGGTCATTGTGCCCATTTGGGGAATGAACTGGGAGATGAAAGATCTTTCTGTCTGCTTCTCTCCATAAATCTGACTTTCCAATAAAAATAAATAAATCTTAAAAGAAAAGAAATATTGTATAGCAAAGGCTATGCATGCTTACTATAAGAATATTAGTTTATTTGAGAGACAGAAAAAAAGTTCTCTTCCACGGTTCCACTCCCCAAATGCCCCCAGGAGCCGAGACTGGGTCAGGATGAAGCTGGGAGCTGGGCATGTCAGGTCTCCCACATGGTGGTGGGGCCAAGCGCCTGAGCCGTCACCACTGGCAGGAGGCTGACGTGTGCAGCTGACACTCCATCCCAGGTCCTCGGTGGGGAACGCGCACCCACAAACTCCCATTTCTGCCACAAGGGCAAACGCTCGCTCCTGGTTATTCACATTTAGATACAGTGCAAAACTATGACTGCAGTCAGTCCAGAGCATCTTATGCCCCACACAGCTATAAACAAGACGAAGAGGGTCCCTGTCCTCTTGGTATTTCTCAAAAATACCAGCATGAAATGTTGCGATTCCAAGGGTATCAGTGGGGGCAATGCCATCGTGTCCTAGGCTAAGTCTCTGCTTGTGGCACCGATATCCCGTGTGGGCACTGGTTCATGTCTCAGCTGCTCCACTTCCGATCCAGGGCCCAGGACAGCAGCAGAGGCTGGCCCACGTGCTTGGGTACCTGCCCACCCATATGGGAGACCCCGGCTCCTGCCATTGTGGAAAATGGCTGTGAACCAAAGGATGGAAAGATCTCCGTGTGTGTCTCTTTTTTCTGTAACTCCCTCAAATAACATTCAGCTGTTTTTTTAAGTGTATAAAGCAAGGTTTATTTAAGGGAGAGGTCACCTGTCCCAGGGCCAGAAGGGGGAGGTCCCAATGGGGGGAAAGATCTCAATACAACTAGATAAGCCTTTTAAAGGGGGGTAGTTACCTGACACAGTAATCTAGTAGCTAAAGTGCCGGGACCCCATATGAGCACTAGTTCATGTCCCAACCAGCTCCCTGCTTGTGGCCTGGGAAAGCAGTCAAAGACAGCGCAAAGCCCTGGGACCCTGCACTCCTGTGGAGAGCCGGAAGAGTCTCCGGGCTCCTGGCTTCAGATCAGCTCAGCTCTGCACATTGCAGCCATTTGAGGAGTGAGCCAGAAGGTCTTTCTATTGCTCCTCCTCTCTGTACATCTGACTTTCCGATAAAAATAAATAAATCTTTTTTTTTTTAAATGAAAAGGGATCATTATGGTTCAAACTGGAGATGGTATTTAAGCTCATCCCAAAGGGCAGTCAGGTAAATTAAAAGCCAGGGAACGTCCTAACAAAACAAATGAACTAAAAGCCACCCACAATCTCATCACCTAGAAATATCAGCTGTTGGGCGTGGAGTTGGTTCCTTCCAAGTGTGTCACAAATACACTCCTGCCTTCAAGCTTTTCTCTTGGAACTCACGGCGTGACTGTGTGTTCCTGTTGCCAGTCATACCTTCTGTCCCAAAATTTTTGTGTCTGGTGCTGAAAAGACTCCAGCCACCAGAGCGAGTTAGCTGCGGCCAAGGGCGGGGAGGAGTGAGTTTGCTAAGGGCCCCTGCTCTCCAAGCCATGCACCTGCTGATGCGCACGGAAACCCTGGTGGAGACTGGCAGTATGCAAAGTCCCACGTGCCAAGCTGATTGGCTTTTGTTATTTTTAAGAGGCATCTCAGAGGAACATGCTTTGGGTAAAAGCTGGCCCCCATCATACTCCCACTGTTGTGGTGTGAAGCTGTCTGTGTCAGGTGCACACCTCACACTGTCGGCACAGGAAGGACCTCTCCATCATTCCAGCCCGGTGTGGCCCTCGGCGCCTGGTTTAGGGTGGAAAGGCACCGAGTCCCTGAGCCAGCACCATCTTCCCCCTCTGCCCTGGAAGGAGCAGCTCTGGTTCTCAGCCCGCCTGAACAGACATCCTTGCTGTGGTGGCGACACCTTATGGTCAAACAAGGGACACACAAGTCCATCATCAGCTCCCTACGCTTCTCTGGGTTTCCAGGCTTCTCTGGGCTCCAGGCTAAGATGCCCGGTTGGCAGGATCTGCCCCTCACCCACAGGCTGGAAGAGAGAGCATCTCTCTCCTAGGGCTCTGAAGGGCTTGGCTGGACCGTTCCCATTCCTGCCAACCTTCCGGGAATGGGCTCCAGCTGCTTGGCTCTCCTTTCTGATATCCAGAAAACCTTGGGTAACGCACAGCCCAAGTGGCTGCGCCTGAGGCACCAAGTGTGTTTAGAGTTAGCCTTGTAAGATGGCTTCTCCTCTTCCAAGCACCCATGCCCTTCTCCAGATGGCCATGCGGGGGGACAAGGGAACTCCTGAATGACCAGCACGTAAAAACTGAGAGGACTCTGCCCTTGGACTCCTGATTGCACGGGCTGTGTTCTTGTCACTGCTGGCTGGAGTCCACTGACCCCAGTTTTGGAAATATCACCTGCAGATGAAGGCTGAGCAGGGGACCCCACAATGGCTGTTTTGGAGTCAGGCCTGTTTTGGAAATAGGCCTGCCCTAACCCACTCCTGAGGAGAAGATGCCGATGGTTTCCTAGGGCACAGAGGGTGAGAGTGCGGGGCTTTGAATGTTCACCCCAGGTACTACATCCCCTGGTTTCATCCCAGATGCTCTCAAGAGCCAGGCTTAGGTCAGGCCGAAACCAGAAGCTGGGACTTCCATCAAGTTCTCCTACATGGACTGCATGGTCCCTAGCCTTTGGGCCATCATTTGGCTGCCTCCTATGAAAAGCAGAGCCACAACACACACCCAGACCCTGTGACATGACATGCTATTGCCCAAAGTGCTGACCTAACGGCTATGCCAGATGCCCACCTGGAAATCTCCCATTACCCTCATTTTCTTGTCCTCAGGATTCTCCCCTTTCAATTCACTGAGGAATTATGTTTTGCTTCCAATAGCCAGAGATGTCTGTCCCATGGTGGCAACAGAGCTGGAACTGGGGTGCCCCACCGTGAGACCCCTGGCAGGTGCCCATGGTTCAGGGGTCACACAAACTAGAGGCTGGTGGGCACTGTCACCCTCCCAAGCATGCCCAGGGTCAGCTTTTCTTGCCTTTTCCTGCCTTTTCACGGCCTCAGCCACACCAAATGGTCACAGTTCCTGTGCTCTTGGACACACCAAGCACACCCATCCACAAGGACAATGATGCCTGGCATTTACTGAGTGCTTGCCACATACCAGCCCCCATCTCAGTACTTCACAAAAACATGTACTGTGCACTGCAATTTAGCAAAAGGAAACCAGAGCATTGTGCCCACTGCACAGAACATAGCAACTAAAGAATTTGCCCAGGGAGTGGGTGCTCAGTCTAGTAGTAACAACACCTGCATCCCATAGGGATGTGCTTCCCAGCTCCAGCCCCTGACTCCTGCCTCTGGCCAACACAGGGTCTGAGAAGCAAGGACGATGGCTCAATTCAGGGGAGTCCTGCCACCTGCTAGGAGGCCTGGCTTGCATCCCTAGCCGTAGCTGCTGTGGACATCTAGACAGTGAGGCAGCAGAGCCTTCCCTGTCCGTCTCTCTTTCCTACTCGGACAGTTATTTCATGATGGTGTGTCAAGCTATTCAGCTAACAAGCAACAGAACCAGGGCTCGGACCCATGCCATGCCTTTACCCATCATGCCAAATTGCCAGCCCAAGGCCCTTCCTCAGAGCACCCCCAGGGTATCTTCTGTGTGACCACAACCCTGGGCATCAAATGACGGTCTGGCACCACTACCTCCTGGACTGCAGGTTTGGGTGCCCCTCTATGTCCTCAGCTGGAGGGTTACGTACAATACACCTGTCAGGAGGGGATAGGCCATCTCCCCCGAGGCCTGGGAGGAGGCCACTTAGCCAGAGAACTGCCAGATGGGCTCACAATGCAAACTCCAGATACAAAGTAAACCCTGGCCAAGCAGAAATCTGAAAAGCAAACCAGAAACCTGCTGAAAGCCACACTATACTCCTGTTGTACTTGAAGTTGGGTGGGCTTGCCTAATGCTTTGCTGAGTTCTCATCATTTATCCCAGTTAAAGGACGGGTACAATTCCCGAACTCCCCAACACAGCAGGGACGCTGTGGTCACACGGATGCACTAACCCTCCCTCACTGCTCACACCCTCCCCTGCTCGCATACGCACCTGATCGGGGCAGGGATATTCACACACCCTCCCCTGCTCACACTCTCCCCTGATAGGGACAGATGTGTTCATATGCTGGCTTCATTTTTAACTTCCTGCTTTTCTCCAGCCACACTGATCAGCAAGGCGTGCTGGAAACCAGCCCTTATGCATCTTTGTGAGGTCTGGCCGTTCTTGATCTTGGGGAGTGCTGGCTACTGCTGGCTGCTGCTGGCTGCTGCTGCTGGCTGGGCAGCTCGTAGGCACCAGGGCCCAGGCTCCCCTGGGAACTCCCTGGGCCACTAGGTCCCCGGGCATGACCAGGGGTATTTCCTTCCCACTTTTCCTGACTGAAAGGTCACATTCCAAGCAGCCCAGTATAAACTTTGTCTCCTGGTGATCTGCCTGACCCTAACATCTCCTCCTAATAGAACATGGGCCCCTCGCGGTGTGTGGGTATGAATGGGCAGTGCCAGAGCAGGGTGGCGTGGGGGTGAGATCGGTCCCATTTGAGATGGAGCAATTCCCTGGCCCTTGGTGGAGCCACAGAGCTCAATTATATGCTTTAGGACAAAAACCTGACAGACAGCACCGTGACACCCTAGCCCTGGCAGAGAGATGCTCCATGCCCGCCTGTTGCAGAGCCCTGGGCCCCGCCCCTGAGTGAGGCTGAGCTCACAACCCAGGAAGCACACGTTACTGTGAGAAACTGCTGCTCAGAGAGATGGCCCAAGGCAGTACAGCAGCAACTGCATCACCAAGGGTCTGGCTGGTCAGCCCCAGTGTCCGTGTCCCCCAGCTGCCTCAGCCATCCCCCTGCACCTTGCTGTTGGGGGCAGAGAGTCCCCCCCTACCACCTGCTGCTACATTGCATCACCTGAGGCTGGGTCCAGTGGCCGCTCCTGGTTCAGCACATTGTAGCTCTTCCAGCTGTACTGAGGCGCTGGGGAGCCCTCCTTGGATTCGCAGGTCAGCTGGATGTCGTTCCCAATCACAGTCTCCCCGACGATGCCACAGTCCGGCTTGGAAGGTGGCACTGTGGGGAAGGGAGGAGTGAGGAAAGCTGAGTGGTGAGACCACGTAGAATGTATTTACACCCAACAACTGCCATGTGGCCCGTCACCCTCACGGGGTCAGCAGGAGGGCTCTGTGACCACAGCAGCCTTCCCACGGGTGGCTCCGTGTGTCCATAGAGCACAAGATTGTAAAGATCCTCCCAGGAGGACAGGGAGCCTGGGACGCGAGGGGCCACCTGCCCACAGGTCCTCACTGAGCCCATGTCATCTGCCCCCTGACCCCGGGGCTCTCTCCAGCATCCTACCTGGGCCCCTTTGGCCATTGCCTCCTGTGAGGCATTTAACGGGGATCCTCAACCTTGGGGATCACCCCGTCAAGGGCTAGAGGACAGCACTTCCAGCTCCGCAGGCCACAGGTTGCCCTGCTGTGACCCTGACCCCACAGGGCTCTACACGGTGAGTGAGCTATGGAACCCAATGAGGACAAATGATGAGTGACTGGAGGATGACCAGGCAGGTGACACTGCTGCTGTGGTCCCCCCAGCCAGCACTGATGGCAGCCTGAAGGGGAGCAATTGTGAGGGAGGCCAACAGGGGACGGGTGGGGAGAGTCAGAGAGTACCCCCAAAGAGGGATCTGCATGCGTTAAGGCTCGGAAACTGGGGGCTTCCTTAGGGTGGGAAGGGCAGCAGGGCACTCCTCTTGGAACCCTGGTGGTGGGCCTGTCCCCTTCATTTCCTTCCTTCTGTGCCCCCTTGGAAGGCTCTCCTGCCCCCGCCCCTGCCCCTGCAGGACTGCTGGTTCTGTAGTGCAGGGATACTAGCATGAATGCCAGCACCTGCCTCATCCGGAAGTAACTGCAAACAGCTGCCCAGCCTGGCAGCTGTAAGATGGCCAAGGGTGTGCCCGGCCAGGTGTGACCCGGCTGGCTGTGGAGCGCATTAGAGACACTCCCTATTGCCACTCCCAGCTGAGCTGTCTCTCAAATTAAGAGGCCCAGGGCTATGGATCGAGGGACGGGGGAGCAGCACCAACGGCTCAGGTGCATGAGCCGGTGTTCCCCAGGTGGGTACCCAGCACTCAGCTGCAGCCTGGGCCTTTGCGGACAGGATCTTTCCATCCCATTCATCTCCTGTCTTCACCTCTCTTCCCCTTCCCCTCTCCAAAAAACAAACGAGCCAACACGACCTGCAATCAGATCTGGTTCAAGTAGTCCTTCTGTATGCGTGGGAGCCCATAGACCCTGGAGGCCTTGATCCTCGCGTGGCCCCCATGCCTTGCTCCCACGCCCAGTGCGGCTCTAACCTGAGCGCTCACCCCGGAACCCTGGAGGAGTTCCCGGGCTTCTTGGAAGCCTGCCAGTCCTGTTGCTGACGTTAGGAGGCGCCAGAGGCCGCAGAGAAGGCCGATCCCGTTTGCTGCCTGCATCCAGCACCGGCTCCCAGGGCCTGGGGGCTTCCGGACATTGCCTAGTCCAGGCTGTATCCCTAAAACAGGGTTCAGGGGCTTCCTGCTGAGCGGGCTGGGGGGCGGGGAAGGCCCCCCATAACGCAAACCCTTCTGCCTAAAAAGCAGCCCGCTGCCAAGAACCTCTTGGGAAACTTTTTGCAAAAAAGTTTTTGTTTTTAAACTGGGTTTATCATCATGTAAGGTTAAATGAGTTGATTCCATTGAGCTTGCCTCCTTCCTGCTTCCGCTTCACTTGGGTGGGCCTTGATGGGGACTGGGGGGCTGGGTATCCATTCTTATGTGGGGCCTGAGCAGACATTTCCCCTCCCCACCAACAGATGAAGGACCCCCAGCACCTGTGTGGTGCTAGTGATGGGGGAGGCGTGAACTGCTGTCCTGTTGCCAACAAAGAATGGGTACAGACTCACACAGGACACAGTCGTCCTGGCACACCCGTGCCGTATGAAGTCTGCAGCCAACACGGCTCTCAGGGTGCTGAGCCCCAGAAATGTGTGTGCCATGCTCAAGAAAAAGCAAATGACAGAGCAAGCTTTACGCTATGAAAGAGGAATGAAAGAACAGACAACAGTATGGCAGCTGTGTGTGTCTGTCCACAGCACAATGAGAGAAGCCTGCAGGAACGCCTGCCAGAGGGCAGAAGGAGCTCCTGATTATTTCTGCCACAGTGCTGGTAGGTATGGCTTTGTTCAACATGATGTATGGCGACCATCTTCTGTGGTTCAGAATAACATCTGGAGTGGGTGCTTGGCACAGTGGGTACGCGGCTGCTGGGGATGCCTGCTCCCCTGCATCAGAGGACCTGGGTTCCAGGCCAGGGTCCTCAGCTTCTTGCTCATGCTCACCCGAGGGCAGCAGGCTGGTGACACGCACATGGGAGATCAGGCGGAACTCCAGGCTTGGACCTGGCGCAGCCGTGCCTTGTTGTATGTGGGGGAGTGAACCAGCATGGTGTGTGTGTGTGTGTGTGTGTGTGTGTGTGTGTGTGTGTGCATGCCTTTCCAATAAAGAGAAGTATTTTAACATACATAATAAAAAGGAAAACCTACCAAGTGGGGTAAAGGGAAGAAGAAGACGGGAAAAGATGGCAACAACAACGAAAAGGCCCACTGTTTAGGTCAGACCTGTGGCCACCTCCCAGGGGCTCCCACTGCTCTGATCAGACACGGACTGGGTGCTTCTGACAGGCTTTCCTTGTTCCTCGTGTTCTAGAAAGAGGAGGCTATGAAAGCAGACCACTGAAGCAGAACTCTTAAGTCTCCAAGACTTTTGGAAGTAAAAAACATAACATTACCATTATGAGGCTTATTGTATGTGATATTAAATGTCAAGAGAAGAATTACTTACAATGTCTTGTTAAATAAAGATAGAAATGCATATTTGAGAAATATTAACTAGGAAAAATAAAAATTGATTGTAATAGGGGGAAAAAAGAAAGGAAAATAGGTAATCTTTCAAATCCTCCCCTAAACTGGGTTCTGGCATGTTTGATGTGCAAGATCTTCTGAGGACAGATTTCCAAGACAGTGCCTGGCTGGGTTGTGTCTGTTGGGAGCCTGGGTGAGGCACAGTGACAAGGGCAGTTCCCCTGGGTGACCACCTTCACCACCGGGAACACATGCCCTGCCTGGCAGGGGTTGGTGCACGTGGGGCTAGGGATGCCAGAATGGAGCCTGCAACAGGGCTCAGGGTTTTCCCTCTCCTTCCCCTGAATGAGGTTGGCCTGAGCAGACCGGCTGATGCAGGAGCAAGAAAACACAGATTAAGGATCTGCTCCGTTCTGACCGTCGCTGCCCTTGGGCACTGCCTGCTGGCGGCGAAGGGGTCCAGCCGTTCCTTGGGGCATGTGTCTGGGTCCCATCTGGCACCAGCCCTCCTGTGGACGAGTTGTCCTAGAGCTGAAGACACTCACCGAGGACCAGGAGGTAGGCACGCGACTTGCTGGTGCCAGTCTGATCTGACATTAGAGAGACAGAACACTCATAGGTGCCATTGTCATCCATGGTGAGCTGATTGATGGTGACCGAGGCATCCGACTGCTCGGCCTGGGCCGATACATTGACGCGGTTCTCATAAAGTTCCCCGAAGACGTAGTTCTTGTACACAAAGTTCCAGATGACCACCTTTTCCTGGGACAGGAAGGAAGAGATGCCATTGGTTCTTCACTCCATGGAGCTGTCCTGAGCCCCCCACCCCAGCCACCACTCCCAGAGCTCAGAAGCACATACTGCAGGGCTGCCTCGACAGCAGTGCTCAATGACGGTGCCCACGGTGGAGTCCCCTCACCATGAACACTTTTAATCCACTCTCAGTGACAATATCACAAGGCTGGCTTGCGGCAGGGTGGCCAGATGGACATTCTCCCATAGGAGCACATGTGAAGGAATGGGCTACCTCAAGTGGCAAGACCAACAGCCATAATAACCTCTGGCATCTATTTACCCATTCTATTCCTGTCCCTTGTTCATGCTTTCTAACTCAGCCAACCAATAGTTACTGAGCAGTTGCCTCGAGCCAGGCATCACACTAAGCTGTTGCCCTTGGCTTCCAAGCAATGAGTCAAATGGCCCCTGTGGATTCCAATTCACCTTCTTATTTTTATTTACAAAAAAATGTTTTTAATTGCAAAGTCAGATATATAGAGAGAGGAGGAGAGACAGAGAGGAAGTTCTTCCGTCCACTAAGTCTCTCCTGAAGTGACGGTGAGGCCGGTGCTGTGCAATCCAAAGCCAGGAGCCAGGAGCCTCTTCCAGGTCTCCCACACGAGTGCATCCTCAACTGACCTTTGGGTCATCCTCAACTGCTTTCCCAGGCCACAACCAGAGAGCTGGATGGGAAGCAGGGCTGCCAGCATTAGAGCCGGTGCCCATATGGGATCCCGACGTGTTCAAGGCGAGGACTTAAGCCACTAGGCCACCACGATGGACCCCCAGTTCCCCTTCTGATGCTGACTCATTGCTTGACCTTGAATGAAAAATTGACCCCACTGTGACTGTGTTTTCTCTCCCACAAAATGTAACTGGTAATAACAATAATGGCACCTGTCTCGTGAAGACTGGCAGGGAGGGCCTGAGAGGTTCCTAACACGGATGCAAATGTGAGTAGGTAGGACTGACTCAGAGCTGAAGTATGAGTAAGAGGGACTGAGTCAGAGCCCAACACCGCTGCCTCGTGTCACCAGGGGCCAGTAAATAACCATGTGTGAGACTGTTAGGGCCTTGCCCAACACTGTAAGAGTCATCAGCATTATTACTGTCATCTAGGTGTATCTACCAGGTTCCTACCACTCACGGACGAACAGTCATGAGTTCTGTACTCAGAGCAACAAGTGGCAATGGCCAACCAAACATTACAGAATCTTACAGTTGCCTATGGAATGTCAAGAGAATGGTGTCATTTCCAGACTGGGAAATCAAGAGAGGCTCCATAAGAGAGGTGACCACTACCCTGAATCCTGAAAATAAATAAACAAATGAATACATAGCTGAGAATTAGCAAGGCTAAGGGCTGGAAGCCATGCAGGTTGGATGGGAGGACTGTGTTGGATATTTCAGGCAGAAGGAGAAACACAGCAAGCAGATTTGATCCCTTTCTTAGCAAGCTTGCTCCAGCTCACATTCTGTTGATGTAAGAGATCCATCTGTCACCACAGTGAGTATCTACCTCAGCACTCACAAAGTTGTGCTTCTGGGACCTCATCGTTGAACATGAATGACAGTTCCCACAAGCAAAGGTAGTGGCTTTCTTTCCAGGGTTGCACCAAGGACCATGGGAGCGGATGGGCCATGTGACCATGGCCCACGAGGGCCCGCTGGGGTGTCCTTCCCCAGGATCCTGCTGGGATCCTGCTGGGGTGTCCTTCCCGAGGATCCTGCTGGGATGCAGCTGGGATCCAGCTGCTGGGTCCTGCTGTTCCAGCATTTGGGTGTCTCAGGCCACCTTTCCCTCTGAGTGGCCGGGGACCCGATGTTGAGTTCTGTCAAGCATGTTTGCGCTTAGAAAGGCGACCTCATTGTTAAACGTGTGAGTAGACGCTCCACTTCTAATAACAATGCCACTAAGGAGATACTTTTTTCACTTATCAAATTGGCAAATACCAAACTGCTTGAGGACCATCTGCCTTGAAGAAATAGGCCCCCTCATAGTTGTTGATGAAAATGAGGATTAGGAGACACAGAGTGAGGACAGTTTGTCATTTTTAGTCAACATTTCCAATTCACATACTCTTTGTCCTTGAAGACTCATCTTTAACATATATGAATGCAAACATATGCATAAATATACACATAAGGATATTTATATTTATTACAGTATTATTTGCAGCCGCAAAATACAGGAAACAAATCAAATGTCCACCAATGATGTATAGTACCTTTTTAAAGTGTGACGCTTTATGTGAAGGTTTTTTGGTTATGAGGTAGACATAAATATATTGACGCATGGCAAGAACCCAAGGTAGTTCAAGATGGAAAAAGTCCAGTGCAGAGCAGTAGGGGTGCAGGACAAACCAACACACATCTTCATATGTGTAGGATCTCTTTGAAAGTCTTGGGAAATGTGCATTCAGAAAAAAAATGCATGAATCTCCATAGTTTTGCACCAAACTTAACTTAGTTCTAATTTCATTGTATAAATTTTTTTTTATTTAAAAGAGATAGACAAAGAGAGAGCTTCCATCCACTGGCTCAGGCCTCAAGTGCCCAAAACAGTCAAGGAGGGAGCCAGGCACCCAATCCAGGTCTCTGTGCTTGGCAGAGCCCCAGTTGCTTCTCCATCACCACTGCCTCCCGGCATGTGCAGCAGTAGCAGCAAGATGGAATCAGGGGTGGAGCTGAGACTTGAATCCAGGCTCTCCATATGGGATGTGAATATCCCATGCCCCATCAAATATCCACCCTCGTGAACTCTGTGGTGTGTCCCCACTCTGTGCATATACAGCTCACACATGCCTGGCCACGGGTATGGGCGCATGGTGGGGAGGGAGACAGAGATATTACAGCATGCGAGCAAGGTAGCTGAGGCAGGATGTGGGAGCAGGTGTGGAAACAGGACTTCTCAATGTATACTTTTCATGATGTTTTGATTTTTGAGTCATGGGTTAGAATATCTATTTAAACATAGAAATGGAAAACGAAGCTCCTTTGCATACTCCAACACAGGAAATAATTCACTCCGTGAAAGTAAAATTTTACCTAAGAGTGAGACTAAGCCACAGGAGTGACCAATTACACAAGATAGTTCATTTGAGAAAGACCAACAAAAAGATATTTTAAATACACTGACTTTGTCGAAGTAAATGTGGAATCATCTGCATTCAGCATTCACTGCTCCCTCCTTACCCAATCTGGCAGAGATGCTCATGTTTATTCTCGCTAACATTTATTCAAAGATTTTACAGTGCCTGCCAGCCAGACTGCCTTCTAAGAGGTCATGGTTGCGTGATAATGAATTTCCATCACACCCCCAACTTCTCAAGGCTCCTTACCGTATGAGTTCTTAGAAGCTTATCCCATTGGATAAACCCATCTCGTGTGGAGGAAGTGGTTTCATAGGTGCAGGGAAGGGTGACGCTCTTGCCCCTGGCAGCCCGGATGACTTCCTTTGGAGTTTGCACAGAGATGGCCTTGACCATCACCCACACTGCAAAGTTAAGAGCAGGAGGAGAAGTTAAATGGCATAGAGGTTCATACTCATTGCTCACAGGATTTCTGAGGGACAGACTTGCTCCTCCAGCCACAGCTGGTCTTGCTACAATAGACATTGATCTAGGCTGTGGCACTCCATCTGCTCAACCAGACCAGCGTCAAAGCGAGCATGGGTACACCGGTCCACCTCATCTCCCTCATTCAGCATCACGAGGAGGCTGCATGCCTTTGGTGGTGAAGTCTGGCTTTGAACTTGAGCCCTACCTCTTAGCAGCTGTTTGAACTTGAACGTTTCTAAGCCTCAGTTTCTCATGGGTGAGACAAAAGCCCTAGGGGCCAGTGCCAAAGCAAACAAGTTTGCCTTCCACCTGTGCCACCAACACTCCACCTGTCCTGGCTGCTCCTCCACTTCCAATCCAGCTTCCTGTTAATGGCCTGAGAAAGCATGAGAAAGTGGCTGATGGCAGCCCTGATACGTTCCAAACTTTGGGGGAATATAAAAGCAGAAAACACATGTAAATATTTTTCTTAGTGCATAGCACATAAGAATGCTCTCAGTGAATATTCTTACTCAATATCTCTTTTTTTGTAATGACAAGAACTTATTTATGTATTTCACATGTATTCACAAAGCAACTTACATGTGAATAAACAATCTAATGAATAAGATTAAATCAAGGTCAAAAACTAGAAAGTTTTCTCAGAGGAAATTTTGTCATGTAAGTTTACAGAAAATGGTGAGAACAAGAGGTGACCTCTTTGGCATGTCTCATCTCCTCCTCTCACAACATGACAGCTCATCAGGAGGTACCCTGCCCTTGAATCTGGGTGGGCCTGTGCCGGGCCTGGTTCTCTGTAGATTTTCTAACTGCAAACCCAGTGCATGCTCTGTAAGGAAGCCAAGGCAGAGGTGAGCATGTGGGACTCCCCCTGACGTGCAGACACAGGGGTGTGTACACTATCCTCCAGCCATTCTTGTTGATGACGAAGGGTGCAGAGCTGGGTGGGCTATCCCTGCCCACACTGAAGATATTCTCATCGGGGCCAGGGTTGTCAGGCAGCACATTCAGCCACCACTTGTGATGCTGGCATCCCACATAAATGCTAGTTAGAGTCTTGGCTACTCTACTTCCACCCCACTTCCCCACTAACGTATATGGAAATGCAACAGAACATAACTAGAATGTTTGGGCCCCTGCACTCATACGGGTGCTCTAAGTGGAATTCCAAGTTCTTGGCTATCACTTGGCCCAGCCATAGTCATTGTAGCCATTTAGGGAGTGAATCACTAATTGATAGACCAACAATCCCCCCCCCCCCCCCGCGTGTGTGTGTGTGTGTGTGTGTAGGTATGTTGGAGTCAAACTGCTTAGGCTGGCACCCTCCTTCTTACTTTTCCTCATTGTGAAACTTCAGGACAAACTGATCATTGCGCCCATGGGCTCAGAGGTGGTGGTGTTCGTCTTGGCACCCATTAGCACCCATTTCCTGTTTTGCTCATTGGCCACATTGTACCCCTGAACTCTGTCCATAACTCATACATTGATGATCAAGTTTTTCATCCATGCCTACTGCATAGAGTCAGCTTCCTGCTCTGTTCCAGGAGGTAAGATAGGTGCCTGCAAGGCTGTCCTCTGGCCCTGGCAGAGCTGATGGATGCATGCCACACTCACACACTCAGCTAAGTCCTCTTTCCTGAACTTTATGTCCAGTATGTGCCATCAGAAGAAACAACAATGTGATCTCTATGTAGAAAATAACAGCATGGAAACAACCCCCGATGTGGGCCAGCACCTAGTGTCCTCAGGGACCTCACAGCCTCGTCCTAGGATAATCCTGTGACAAATAGAACAGATCAGACTGTCTGGATTCAGAAAGTCCCTGGACAGCCCCTCCCCATGAGAGCAATGACTCCTCCAATCCAACCCTCTTAACTGTCCCCGACCTGGAAGCCTCCCTCCAATACTTTGATTCCCATTTCTGAACCACTATAGCTCTGGGGCACACTTTCGCCATGACCACTCCAGGAACACAGGGTTCAGTCCTGCAGCTACAGCGCTTCAGCTGGGAGTCCAGGTCCTGCACTCCTCCACGCATGACCTTAGCATCAGCCTTCCGTGCCACCCAACACTCACTTGAGAAACGGTCGTGTAAGGATTAAGTAACATAAAATGTGTACTTTGTTCAGAATGCCTCCTCACTCACAATCAATGCTCAACAAATGACATTTCTTCTTCTGTATATTTTATAGCCTACAGTGCTTTTACTTTCTCATGCCATAGCCCATTGCCGAGGTACACCCTTGGTGGGGGCTCACAGTAAGAGACCATCACATAGCATTGTCATGGACAAGTCATCCAAGAGGAACAGTAATTGCTAACAATTGGAACTAAAGACTAGATTGATACACGAGGTCATTGCTAACTGCCTTAAAATCACTTCCCGTGAGCAGACCTGTGAATGAAGAGATAGATGCCAATGAATGAGAAGAGGTCAGAATGAGAAGTCTGGCCCTTTCACGTGTCACTGGGAACCTGAGCCTTATAGGGTTGACCCTGAGGCCCTTGGGATACTCCCCGGTCAGTCATCCTAGAAGAGCCGTTGACTATTATCTGAAAACTTGAGGCCCTTCGCCATTCTGGGACTGCCCGGTAAGCAAACTCAGCCTTTCCCCTGGTTCAAGTCAATGTCCGTTTGTTCTGATATCACTGGACTCAGTAATGTCCATTCACTGTCCAGGGGCACCTGCTGTGGGCAGCCCTGGCTTGCTCCTTTCCACCTAAGAACTCTGGCTCCTCCCGGGGAGAGATGTGTGATAGACTAGGCTAGGTCTCAGCCCTTACTGAAGCATGTGTGAGCTGTATGGGGGTATGGAAGAGCCGTGGCTGGGTTGAAACATCCAAACAGTGAAAACCAGATTGGGTTGAAGGCTAGTCAGGAAAAGCCACTGTTCCTGCTAGGAAAGAAGGTGAACTGAGTAGGGCTAGCTCATGGACCCACTGGTATGTGCAAAACCTGGCACTAGGAGAGGTTCTAATGGAGGAGCTTGGGCAACTTCTCTGGCAGGACACAGTCCCTGCAGGTAAGCGCAAGAAGTACAATAGGGAACAACTCAGAACAGGCAATGGAAATTATCCCACTGGCATACACATGGCATGGGTTGGGGGCAGACCAGGCTGAGCCTGTTCACATTACCTACTGGTGAATCCGAGCACCAGAACAGAGTGTGGGTTGAGTCAGGTTCGGTTGCAACACATACCGGTACACAATAAGTAATGCCAAGGTGAGATGAGCCGTACCAGATGTAGTTGCAGCGCCCAAACAGCACATGTGATAATCAGGGGGAGGAGGCAAAGCCAACAGGGGAACGTGGGCTCCCCTGCTGGACAACTACTTTCATTGGAAAGCGTGAGTTGGGATGGGAGCAGATCAGACAAGGCAGGGTTATAACACCTGTGGGCCTCATGTGAGCTAGATAAGGGAAGGGTCACGGTGGGCTGACTGTTCCGACTGGTGCAAGCAAAAATTAGAGTGGTTGAGGGTTGTTTGGGCTTAGCCGCAGCATTAGCTGGCAGAGGCTGGCACTGGGAGCTAGTTCTGTCAAGTCAAATGCCAGAACCACCTGGAGAGTGCATAATCTGGGAGTAGGTGTGGCCTAGTAGGGAAATAGTGGGCACCTCCCTCAGGGTTACCACCATCACTGGACAGCACGAAAACCAAGATAGGGGCAGGACTGGCTAGACAGAAAGGCACCTGCCTGCGGCACATACTGGCAAGCATGGGAACCAGGGTAGGGGGCAGAACTGGTAGGGGTTATGGGGAGTCACCCCAACTAGGCTGCAGCTCCAACTGGTTTGCATGAGGACCAAGTATGAAGTGGGTAGGATCGAGCTGGACTACAACACCCGTTGGTTCACAAGGAAGACAGGGCTGGAAGCAGAATGGACCCAGCAATAGCAACGACCAGCATGTGCATAAGCTGATTGGGGCAACGGACAGTGTTGGAGTCTGTACTAGCAAACTCACTCAAGAATCAGATCTGGGATCATCTCAGATGAAGTTTCTTTGGAGATCCCTCCAACTAAACTGCTGATCTTGGAACCCCAACCATCAAGAGACTGTCAGCCAGTGGACTCTGAATGGGTTTCATTGCGGTTGGGATGGTGAGATTGGCAGCAATCCAGAACTAATGAACTATCAAAACTGTTTGAGCAGGACCCTCAGAGCATGCCTCCTGTTGGGGATCGGGGATGGGTGGGAGGTAGGGTGGGGCTTTTCCCTTTGTTACTCCCCTGACCCCAGATACAGGGAAAATGATAATATTAGCGTGGAAACAATGGTATTACCCACTTTTACCCTGTAGCCCTTGACCCTTTGTACCCTAATCAACTAAGATTATTAAAATTAAAAAAAAAAACTCTGGCTCCTCACACTCCTTTTCACAGGCCTTATGGTAACAACCCTATGATTCCTTGGTTCCCCTTCTTGAGATCTTGGTCTCTGCACTCAGTGAAGGAGACAGCGCACCAGGCAGAGCATCTGATCCACGACCAGAAAACAGAAATGGAGAGCTCGTCTCTAGAACCTTCCCAGTCGCTCCCTCTCTGCTTCCTCGCGTGGGTCGCTGTTACACACCCTGCTCCCCACAGCCACTTGAGTCCTCCCTGCTTGAGCACGTACAGCTCTCATCTCCTACCCTCCACCTGCTCTCACTGCAGAAGCTTCTTTCCTTCCTTCCTTCCTCGCTATTTTCCTTTCTGCTCAAGGCTGAGCTCCTCTGAGCTTAAAGGGCAGAACCATCTGAGAAGCCAATTTGTTCTAACGTGTGTTACCCAATAACGTGTGATGTGCCAACCTCCAGTTAGAAGAGTAATTTTATCTACCAGGAAGGAATCCTAAACCCTTCAAGCATTACAGCAGTTTGTGGACAAGATTTTGAGCATGTGCTGTGTCCTAAAGAGACCAGTCCTAACTCTCCCAAGCAGAAGTGACACA